GGGGGGGGGGGGGGGGGGGGGGGGGGGGGGGGAGAGATTTGGGTGATTGGTTGATCCGGTACGTTCCTCGTTGATCGCCGTGGCGGACAGGTCATCGTGGGGGTGTGTAATTATCCTATGTTTTTTTTATGTTTTTTTTCTTTTTTCTTTTTTGGATCATCACAAATCGATGTTCGCATCTGTAACAGCGAACATGTGACACCTGTCATTGGTATTGATGATGTGATCAGCCGCCTCATCAGCATTCACGATTGTCGCTTCTTGTGTCCATTGGTATTGATGACGTTCACACGTCGTTGTCCCTTCTTGTGTTCATTGGTATTCATGATGTCTACACGTTGTTGTCGTTTCTTGAGTCGTTCGTTATTGATGATGTCTACAGCTTCTTGTCAACTCCTTTGTGTTCCGTTTTCATTTGCATTCACGATTGTCAGGGCAGTACTAACATGGAAAGTGGTGACGGATGTATGATACAACCGATGCTTTGTCACAGACCAACGGATTTTCATACAAGCCATTCCAAATGCGAGCACAGATGAAGACAAAAAAACTGACACACGCACAACGTCTTCCAAACAAAGTATTTGTCATTCATCAGAAACACGGAGAACAACCTCCAGGACTTAAAAAAAAACATTACAAGATATGTTATATGAATGTTGTCACTCCCGGCAACAGCACAAGACGTCACAGTTAGGATGAAATAGGCCTTGAAGGCAACTTCGATCCCAACCAGCCGAAAAAAGAACACACACCCCCAGAAATGGACTCTGTCACTCACACCCGTCACTCACGGTGGCACCACACTAGAAATTGTCGCAAAGACAGACAACTACATGCGCGTCACGAAACCCTCGCCGACGACGCGATGGACTATGCCATCGCCATAAACCCCACCCGACGACAACCTCCTAAGTGCGGCGCAATGCAAAAGTACACCAAACTAAAGTGCGCCAGATAAGCCGCCGCATGCACGCCAATGCCCACCGATACAAGCAGCGGTCGATTAACTCTCTCTCTCTCTCTCTCTCTCTCTCTCTCTCTCTCTCTCTCTCTCTCTCTCTCTCTCTCTCTGTGCGGCTGCATGCCGCCCGCTCCCAACAACTGGCTGTCTTCACTGCGTACCCATTCGCTCCGCCAGTGCATCCCGCAGGATCAGCGCATCACCCGTCGACGACTCCATACACATCTGCCTCAACGGGCGGTGTATCCCAAGGTCCACCCTGTGACGAACACCATCCGTCCCAACCTCCCACAGTAGATTGTCGTCGAACGGGATGCCCGCATCGATGAGTATGTTGTGCAGAATGCAGACAGCGACGAATTGTTGCGTCAACGTCTTCATGTTCGTCTTGTGGGAGCGAAGGAACAACCTCCACATCCCCTTCAATCTGCCAAAAGCCCTCTCGACTGCTCCCCTCGCTGTCTTCTGCTTGTTGTCGAACCACATCTCCGACGGGTGTTGTGATAGACCGCCGTAGGGGATGACTACCCATTCGGAGGGGGGGTAACCGTTGTCGCCCAGCAGATACCCGTTCGTCCGCACACTGAAAGGCAGCATGACAGGTGGCCCAGTGAAAAGCTTCCCTGCCTCCGCGCGTGCCCATAAACTGGACAGGTGGGCGATCCTCATGTCGTGGCAACTCCCCGGATATCCGACAAACACATCCAACACGCGCAAGTTGAGATCGATCACCACCTGAGCCTGGACGGAGAAACGACGTTTTCTGTCGTAGTAGTCCTCCCCGGGGCAATTGGCTGGCTTGTCGCTGAAGATGAGGGTACAATCGATGCAGCCATGGCAGTTGGGGAAACCCTTATCAGTGAAAGCGCGCAAGAAGACCGCCTTTTGCATCTCCGTTGGCCACGATATCTTGTCGGGCTACTCACTCAGCAACGCCGAAGTTACATCCCGCATAGCCACCAACCCAGACTTTCTGCCAATGCCGAAGCTGCATGTCCGGCTCTCGTACGTCCCCCCCGACGCCCATCTGTACAAAGCGTACGCTACAATGAGGTCAGGCTGGAGGGGCTCCCTATAGAAAGTGACACGTCATTGAAGGAATGGAGACAGAGTTTTCGGTATCTCCCAGAACACCCGTGGCGACATGTGCAGCTTCTCCTTGAAGTAGTCTTCCGTCGCGTCGTCGCATTGCCGCAGATCCTCCCACACCCCCCTTGTTCGTCGCTTCATCCACCACCTGGGCGTCGCTCTGGGAAATGCTCCACACCCCATGGCATAGCACACCTGCAGGACGGCGTCGCAAATGGCACCACTGACCTCTTCGTCCACATGCACGGACTGCAACGTCTTCTTCCGGCGTGCGCGAATGGCTGCTCTCATCCTCCCCTCGCTCCTCTACAATTGACACCTGATGAGTATCATGTTGACGGCCGCTGCCACAGCCGCCCTCTCCGCCTTGCTAAGTGTGTCATGGACCGCGTCCCCGTTCACGTCCATCGCTCGTCGTCGCCAAGTGAAGAAGGCTCGACTTCAGTGGGAATAACAGCGATGTTGCATCGTGACAACCGGACTGTACGGTGTACACGTGGACGCGAAGGTGCGCGTAGCGAAGTAGACAACGGTGGCGATCGTGTGACGGCGGGCCTGCTGCTTCAAACGTATTCATGGACGTTCGGCGTGCCATCAGAAGCCACGCAGCCGCCACCCCGTACCCAAACGGTCCCGCCGAGGAACGTTGCTGCCGTCAGCCATAAGGGACACCCACGCCGCCGTCATTCACTTACGGGAATTCGAATTTCGAAATTCGAATCTGGGACTGCGCGTCGTTTTCGTAGCCTTTTTTTTTTTTCCGCCGCGTACTTTCGAATTCGCGCCGCCCACAACACCTGGACCAAGGAGGACGCTACGGACACAACTCGCTGGACCAACCTCGCCCCCCCCCCCCCCC